TTACTAAATTAGTCTCTCTCTCTCTCTCTCTCTCTCTCTCTCTTCTTCTTTTTTCGAGAAATACAATTTTTTCCATACCCGAAAAAAAGTATATTTTACTGAAAATCTAAAAATTTAGATAGATATAAATCTGCAAATAATTTTGTTGGACCATTGAGATTATTATGTAGGATTTGAGCATGATAATAATACTACAAAAATTTTTAATCTTCTAGTAATTAATTTAAACGTCCTAATTATTTTGATTTAATAAAATTATTTTTAGATTTGTATCTGATCAAATTTTTAGATATTTCCAAGCAAAAATTTTTCTTGTATAGAAAATATAGGTATTTATATATTAATATAAGAAAATATCATTCTTCTCCTTAATATAAAGAACATATTGCATTTTGTATCAATTTCATTAAAAATTTACGGATGAGCTATTTAATTAAAAATACACTCGTCATATATTATTACATATACGAAATATTTAATTTTGCAGGCAAGTATTGCCGAGCCAAATTATGATCCATCAAAATCCTTGTGGCGAATTGAATTCGTCACCGACACCCGCAGAGGTTCCTCTAACTTCGATTCTGGTTTACGTTGTCGACGAGAATGGCAGGTTCGACGTTGCCATGACGAAGATTCTACCAAGTTTATACAAGGTGTCTCCCAACTTCCCAGTGAGAGTAAGTTGAAAACGACGGAGAAGGTCGAGTGCGGATTAGAACGTTGCGGCTGGGATATGTCGAACACCAGCAAAAGTCCATTATAACTCTTGCTTCGACATATGTCTCCTTAAAATTTAACTTCCCCGATTATCAACTTTGAAGATCTTTCTTTCACTGGGGAGTAACGCTCAGTTATCGTTTAAGACGTTTCTACGAAGTACTCCTTCTCTGTTAGCTACAATTGATCGATATGCCATATTAAAATAATTGAAATTATATTCAATGACAGTAATACCGAAAGAACATTTTTATTAAATTTCCTCAGGTCATTCATTCTTTTCAGATACACAAGTTCCTTTTGATGCCGGAAACGGATTCCGGAAATGCAATAGCGGTTGTCGTGGTTTCCTCCGTGGCCTTTATTTGCCTGGTTCTACTAGCTGGCCTTCTGGTAAGTTTTATATATTATAATGATTTTACAATCAGCAATTCCAAATAAAGATATTAATATTGGTACCATTTAATATTTAATTTATAATTAACATGATATTCCGTAAATCGAGGTCAATAATTCAGGAGAATGAATAGGGACTCAAAAACAAGAAAGAGAGTTGATTTGAACATAGATCCGAAAATGCATTATTTTTGAGTTACTGCCATTTTGCGTTATTTTTGAGTTACCGCCATTTTTATGTTGAAATTTGAAATTGTTTTGCTTTTAAATTTTTTGTCAAAATTGACAGAAGAGATTTTTATTTTTCAACATAACTGAAGTCAAAAGTTACGAGTTACTTTAGCACTATTCAGAACCTACAACTGTGAAATTCTTATCTCTGCCAAGAGATGTTAAGCGAGCTGTATCTTTACAGAATATGATGCATCCTATTTAATGCTAAAGGAAATCGCCTTTATTTAATTTTAATTATGTTATAAAATTTATAAAAATCATCTCTTCTTTCAATTTTGACAAAAAAATTCGAAAGCAAAGCAACTTGAAATTTTAAAATAAAAATGGCGATGGCTCGAAAACAACGCATTTCCGGAGCTGTGTTCATACCAATTTTTTTCTTGTTTTTGGATTCCCAAATTATCTTCCAAGCAATTGACCTTTGAAATACCTTGTATATATAAAATTCAAATTTTCTTTTATATGTATATACATGTATACGGAATAAAAGAAATCGTAGAAATTGTTCTGCATGTAACACAAGATCGATTCGATATTTTCGCAAAATGATATGAATCGGTCTTCTCTTCAAAGCTCTCTTTTTTTATCTTATTTTTTCTTGAATTATGAATGTGCGTTGCATGCTTTTTTTGCCGTGCCGTGTTTACGCATCACGTGGCACGTTGCTGTGGATTCGAAGCAAGAAATACTAATATTTCAAGATGACAGCTGCGCAGGTCCGCGAAAATCTATGCTCACTGACGTAGCCTGCTGTTAAGTCGCGCTTGCACGGCGATAAACCTCTGTTTACGAGGTATTACGTTGTCGATTCGTCTTCTTCCATTCGTCCGTCCATCTGTCCATACTCATAATTCTCTTCCAGTGTACGTAATACGTTTATGATGTCTGTATATATGTTTTTATCTGAGAGGGAAAGACAATGTTCTCATCTCTGTTGGGTGATGATGCACGCATGTGATTTTTTTTTATTTCTACAATAACGATAGCTTATTGTATTATTTTTTTTTACATCCAATTTTTTAATTACATCGTTTTACTTATTCATATAATAACATATGTGCACGTGTATGTGGTTCACGCCAAATGTAAATTAATTATTTCACGAGAAATCAAATGACTTGCAAATTATATTCGTGTAATAGATATTTCATTTATAGAGAGAAAACTTAAATCTCTCGTATATTAGCAACATTGTTAATCATAAAGAATAATAATTATATTAATATTGCTCATATTATATAACTTTTAACGTGCGTTAGAACATTTTCTATTATTATTTCGATAATAAATAATAATCGCTACAAGAGAGATCTACTACCTCGCGCAACGTTTTCTCCAGCCATCAGTAACATTAATACCGTGCTTGCACAGCGTGCAACAATTAATTTTAATGAACGTGTAATGCAGTCATATAACGCCGGATGGAATATGAACTAACGAAACTTAACGAATCAATTAATAAAGAAGAGAGAGAAAATTATTACACGGCGTCAGGAAATACAACGGTATTATCCCATTTCCGAAACTGTACTCTGTGTTTGTTACGAAAGCAATCCTTCTTAATGAGTAAAACCAGATAATTCCATTAAACAAACAGGTTCAGCATGAAAAATATTTTATTTTGTCGGAAAACGCATTAAGCGTACATTCTTGGAAAATTTATAATTTTCATTCGTGTCAATTAAATGAACGACGATCATAAAATTAATAATAATTGCGGAACGAATAACGACGAGAATAGAATATTGAAAGACTGCAACTTAAAATACATAATTGAGATAGACTTTTTCTTAAAATCACTCATCTCTCTTTCGAGCGCGCAGTCATGTGGAAAATACTACGAAAAGTATATTTGCAGCGATACGTAATTAACGATAAGAGGATTGGCTGTTTTCTTTCCGGGAGTAATGAAATGTCATTCGCACGTGGTTGTTCGGCCTTGAATGGTTGATTAGATTGACTAGCAATCGGCGTTCCACGCTTCATCAACGGCGCCGTGTTTCTTGCGATCTTTGTTGTACATGCGAATGACGATGTTGAAATGGCCCGCTACGTGTTTCGAATGTATTTTATTTCGCTGACCGTCGCGAGATTTCCTCGATCTCTTTTCGGTTATGTCGGTCATGTGGCGTAATGTGGCGCAATATAATTGCTTAATTGCAATGAAGGAAAATGCATGATTTACAATTATAAATAATCGTTACATTCGATGCAATTATACATTTGCGTTTATTGATACAATTTTACTTTTTGCTCTAATTACATTAAAGAAAAAGAAGATAATTACGTCAAAGTACGTCAGATGATTATTTCTCTCATGACAATTATCTTCTATTAAAGATTAGATAATAAGAGAAATATGTAATAATAATTCTGTAATGTATTAATTTGCTAAAATTGAAGATTATAATTCGCGGCACACTCGTTTATTGTTTATAAATATATTTTGCACGCTGGCGAACAGCAGTTTTCGATTCAGTGCATGGCTACTAAGTTAATCGTCACTGTATTTCGGGATATCGTGAGTATTTGTAGACGAGTTATCGTACTATTGTAAAATAGAGTTGTAAAGTTGCGAGGAATAGAAGATCGGCTTTTGCTTTTTGTTTCGTTTCGAACGTAACGGCCGGTAATCTTAGCTGTAACTACTTGCAGTTCATAATGAGAAAGAGGCAAACGAGGTTCAATTACGGAGAACGGTGCCGGCCAGTATCCTTGGACGCCTATAGCCTCGACAGCGTTTCGGCGTACAATAGCGTAAGGCGCAAAGGTGCGGCGAGAGCCTCCAAGAGAAGTTACGGCAATCCGACTTTCGAAGATTCGGTAAGTTTGAGAAGATTAATCGTGAAAGTTTTCAGGATTGTTTGAATTTCTCATTGTGTTCCTCGTAGCGATTTAATTTTCCATGTCTAGTTAATGATTATAATGTAGCGTCTCTTGTCAGAAAAGTCTTTCTCAACTCGTATTTATTTTAAATAAATATAACGTATTTAAAATCTTATATAAGTTAATTTACAGATATTTAATTGTGTGAAACTACTAAATTTGGTGTCATTGAAAATAACGTTTCTTCGTTTCTTTAACACAATATTTTTCATCATTTTAAGGACATACATACAGCATGTTTATAAAAAGACGATTTATTTTTTTATATAATGCATTTTGTATTAATATACATAATTATATATTCTATATATATTATAGTAATGATTTTCTTTTCTTTATAGCTGTTACGTGTTACAAAAGTATAGATCTAAATTAATTGTTCAGGTAACAAAGTGTAAAGCAATAATACTGCCCGTATATAAATAGCAAAATGCGGTATTAACAGTTTGATAATAGATATAATTGATACATTGCAGTAAATTAACTACATCGTTGCTTTGTTTGATTTCTGTCGTTAGATTATTGTTAGTTGATTTAGAGATTCTTGCTAGAATTCTACTAATATTATTCAATTTAACAGACCTTACGTTAATTCTGTTTATTCTTCTGCAAACAATTTCTCGAGTGGATTTGACTTAATCTGAATAATCAGGGCAATTGAGAATCCGCGTGATAAAAAGTGTGCAAATATACTTTTAATAATTTATTAATATTAAAATTCATCAATGGTAAATATTGACACTTCTTACCAAGATTCTCAGTTGCTCTAATTTTTTAATTAATATTTATATTGAGAGTCATTCTTCTAAGATCCTTCAATTCTAATTAACTTGGATAGCTTGTATATTTGCATTATCCTAAAATAGACATGTGTCAATAAATTATTATTTTGAAAGCTTTTATAGACACTGTAACAATCGCTAGTTTTTAGTCAATTAATTAGGAAGGACTTAAGAAATTATTTGACATATATCTCCAAAAATTTTAAAAATCTTAATGTTGATATTATAAGTATAAAATGATATTATAAGTATAAAGTTGATATTATAAGTATAAAGTATAATTATTATAAGAGAGAAAGTAATTTTATATATATATATATATATATATATGTGTTATGTGTGT